AGAAAAGAGAAAGCAACCAAATAAATAAAATTACAAACAAGGGAGGAAAAATAACAACCAATGCCATAGAAATACAAATAATTATATGAGAATATTATGAAAACTATATGCCAACAAATTGGACAACATGGAAGAAATGGACAAATTCCTAGAAATATAAACTACCATAACTGAAACAGGAAGAAATAGAAAACTTGAGCAAACTAATAACCAGGGAAGAAATTAAATCAGAAAACTCCCAACTCCCAACAAACAAAACTCCAGGGTGGGATGGCTTCACAGGCAAATTCTACCCAATATTTAAAGAAGAGTTAATACCTATTCTCAAACAATTCCAAAAAAGTAGAAAAGGAAAGAAAACTCCCAAATTCATTCTATGAGGCCAGCATTACCCTGATACCAAAACCAGATAAAGACTACAATAATAAAGAGAAGTACAAGCCAATATCCCTGATGAACATGGAGGTAAAAATTCTCAATAACATACTAGCAAACCAAATTCAACAATACATTAAAGAAATCATTCACCACAGTCAAGTAGAATTTATCCCTGGGCTACAAGAGTGGTTCAATATTTGCAAATCAATCAATGTAATACACTACATTAATAAAAGAATGGATAAGAACCATATGATCCTCTCAATAGATGCAGAAAAAACATTTGACAAAGTACAATATCCATTCATGATAAAAACCCTCAAAGTAGGTTTTGAGGGAACATACCTCAACATAAGAAAGATCATACATGAAAAGGACACAGCTAATTATCATCCTCAATGGAGAAAAACAGAGCTTTTCCTATAGGGTCAGGAACAAGACAAGGTTGTCCACTCTCACCACTGTTATTTAAATAATACTGGAAGTCCTAGCCTCAGCAATCAGACAACAAAAAGAAATAAAAGGCATCCAAATTGGCAAGGAGGAAGTAAAATTTTCACTATTTGCAGATGACATGATACTCTATATAAAAAACCCAAAAGACTCCACCAAAAAATTGCTAGAACTCATACACAAATTCAGTAAGTAGCAGGATACAAAATTAATGTACATAAATCTGTTGTGTTTCTATACACCAATAATGACACAGCAGAAAGAGAAATTAAGGAGTCAATCTAATTTAAAATTGCACCAAAAACCATCAGATGCCTAGGAATAAACCTAACCAAGGTGAAAGACCTGTACTCTGAAAACTATAAAATACTGATGGAAGAAATTGAAGATGACATAAAGAAATGGAAAGATAGTCCATGTTCATGGACTGGAAGAAAAAACATTGTTAAAATGTCTATACTACCCAAAGCAACTTACATATTTAATGCAATCTCTATCAAAATACCAACAGCATTTTTTCACAGAGCTAAAAGAAATAATCCTAAAATTTGCATAGAATCACAAAAGACCCCGAATAGCCAAAACAACCTTGAAAAAGAAAAGCAAAGCTGGAGGCATCACAATTCCAGACTTCAAGTTATATTACAAAGCTATAGTGATTAAAACAGTATGGTACTGGCACAAAAACAGACACATAGATCAGTAGAATAGAAAACCCAGAAGTAAACCCACAATTATATGGTCAATGAATCTTCAACAAACCAGGAAAGAATATCCAATGGGAAAAAGACAGTTTCTTCAACAATGGTGTTGAGAAAATTGGACAGCAACATGCAAAAGAATGAAACAGGACCACTTTCTTACACCATACACAAAAATAAACTCAAAATGAATTAAAGATCTAAATATGAGACCTGAAACCATAAAAATTCTAAAGAGAACACCGGCAGCAACCTCTCTGACATCTACCATAGAAACTTCTTTCTAGATATTTCTCCTGAAGCAAGAGAAACAAAGGCAAAACCAAACTATTGGGACTTAATCAAAATTAAAAGCTTCTACTTACTCAGTGAAGGAAACAATCAACAAAAGTAAAAGGCAACCTATGGAATGGGAAAAAAATATTTGCAAATGACATATCTGATAAAGGGTTAGTATCCAAAATATATAAAGAATTATCAAAGTCAACACACAAAAAACAAACAATCCAATTAAAAAATAGGCAGAAGACATGAAAAGACATTTCTCCAAAGAAGACATCCAGATGGCCAACAAACACATGAAAAGATGTCAACATCACTCATCATCAGGGAAATGCAAATCAAAACTACGAGATATCACCTCACACCTATCAGAATGGCTAAAATCAACAACACAAAAAACAACAGGTGTTGGAGAGAATGTGGAGAAAGGAGAACCCTCTTACACTGTTGGTGGGACTGCAAACTGGCGCAGCCACTATGGAAAACAGTGTGGAGTATCCTCAAAAAGTTAAAAATAGAACTACCCTATGATCCAGGAATTGCACTACTAGTTATTTACCCAAAGGATACAAAAATACTAACTCAATGGCTTACATGCACCCCATGTTTACAGCAGCCCTATCTACAATAACCAAATTATGGAAATAGCCCAAGTGTCCATTGATTGATGAATGGATAAGAAAGATGTGTATACACACACACACACACACACACACGGAATATTACTGAGCCATAAAAAAGAATAACATCTTGGCATTTGCAAGAACATGGATAGAGCTAGAGGGTATTAAGCTAAGCGAAATAAGTCAGTCAGAGAAAGACAAATACCACATGATTTCACTCATATGTGGAACTTAAGAAACAAAACAAAAGAGCAAAGTGGGGGAAAAAAGAGAAAGAAGGGCAAATCAAGAAACAAACTCATAAATTATAGAGAACAAACGGATGGTTATCCGAGGGGAGATGAATGGGGAATGCGTTGAATAGGTGATGGGTGTTGAGTTTGAGAAGTTCTTTATAGATCTTGGATATCAGCCCTTTGTCTGTAGTGTCATTTGAAAAAATCTTCTTCCATTCCGTGGGTTGCCTCTTTGCTTTGTTGACTGTTTCCTTTGCTGTGCAGAAGCTTTTCATCTTGATGAAGTCCCGAAAGTTCATTTTATTCTTCTGTATATAGCTGTCCAATTTTCCCAGCACCATTTATTGAAGAGACTGTCTTTTTTCCATTGAATATTGTTTCCTGCTTTGTTGAAGATTATTTGATCATGGAGTTGAGGGTCCATATCTGGGCTCTCTATTCTGTTCCATTGGCCTATGTGTCTGTTTTTGTGCTAGTACCATGTCTTGGTGATCACAGCTTTATAATATAGCTTGAAATCAGGCAACGTGATGCCCCTAGCTTTGTTTTTCTTTTTCACCATTTCCTTGGTGATTTGGGATATTTTCTGATTCCATACAAATTTTAGGATTGTTTGGTCTGGCACTTTGAAAAATGCCATTGGTATTTTGGTTGGGAAAGCATTGAAGGCCAAGATCTATAAAGAACTTCTCAAACTCAACACCCAAAAAACAAATAATCAAGTCAAAAAATGGGCAGAAGACATGAACAGAAGACATACAAATGGCTGACACATGAAAAAGTGTTCATCATCATTAGCCATCAGGAAAATTCAAATCAAAACCACATTGAGATACCACCTTACACCAGTTAGAATGACAAAAATTGACAAGGCAAGAAACAACAAATGTTGGAAAGGTTGTGGAGAAAGGGAGACCCTCTTACACTGTTGGTGGGAATGCAAGTTGGTACAGCCACTTTGGAAAACAGTGTGGAGGTGCCTCAAAAGATTAAAAATAGAGCTACCCTATGACCCAGCAATTGCACTACTGGATATTTACCCCTAGACACAGATGTAGTGAAAAGAAGGGCCATACGCACCCCAATGTTCATAGCAGCAATGTCTACAATAGCCAAGCTCTGGAAAAAGCCGAGATGCCCTTCAACAGATGAATGGATAAAGAAGATGTGGTCCATATATACAATGGAATATTACTCAGCCATCAGAAAGGATGAATACCCAACTTTTGCATCAACATGGATGGGACTGGAGGAGATTATGCTAAGTGAAAGAAGTCAAGCAGAGAAAGTCAATTATCATATGGTTTCACTTATTTGTGGCACATAAGGAATACCATGGAGGACATTAGGAGAAGGAAGGGAAAAATGAAGGGGGGGAAATTGGAGGAGGGAGATGAACCATGAAAGACTATGGACTCCAAGAAACAAACTGAGGGTTTTAGAGGGGAGAGGGGGTGGGGGGTTGGGTTAGCTCAGTGATGGGTATTAAGGAGGGCACGTACTGCATGGAGCACTGGGTGTTATAAGCAAACAATGAATCATGGAACACTACATCAAAAACTACTGATGTACTGTATGGTGACTAACATAATAAAAAACAATAGGTGATGGGGATTAAGGAGTGCACTTGTGATGAGCACTGGTGTTGTATGGAAGTGTTGAACCACTATATTGTATACCTGAAACTAATATTGCATTGTATGTTAACTGGAATTTAAATAAAAACTTATAAATAAATAAAATTAATGGGCACAAATTATGTGTGTCATAGAAATGTCATAGAAATTATACTTAATGAATCATTCATAAAAATCACACTAATATGAAAAGAGCTTTACCATTAAAAAGCATTCTGTGCTACCTAGATTTGACAATGTATGTTTTATTTTAATCAGATTAACAATATCAGTACTTTCCTTTTAACAAAGACTTATATATGTATATATACTCAAATTTGCATATGAAGAAGTTCTTTATATATTATCACTTTAAAATCATGTTACAAGGTACATTTTATTGTGACCTCACAAAGAATATTTAAATGTCCCTATTTTCTAGACAAATAGTCCAGTGACTGTATATATCATTTTGTGTGATAGAGATTTGGGGCACTTCTTTTCCTGAGTCTGTGTTTTAAAGTAGTTTTATAATGTTCATATATTACTTAACGAATGAAAAACAATCAAAACACTTGCTTTCATTCAGACAAAAGAACTCTAACACAGTAATTAGAGCACAAAATTTCAAAGGGATATATGCATGAATTGATTTGGGTCATGTAGTCCAGTAAAAACAAAGCATTTATTAAAAAGTGATTTCTTAATTACATGTGTTTCTGAAACTTCACCATCATTGGTATTTGTCTTAATCTTCCGTGGCACTGTAATTTGTAGAAGCGATGCTTCAGGATCTACAGTAAGGAAAACATGTGTATGAACATTCCCCAGTGCCTGGCAGCAACCTTAATTCTTCGCGTGTCCTGCCACATCCCATCACTCTTTGAACTTCCAAGCCCCAACACACACACACACACACACACACACACACACACACACACACACACACACAGACACACAGACACGCACTCACCCGCCACAGAATCAATCTTTGTACATTCCAGGAAGAGGCTCCCTCCACCATCCATACACTTTGGGGTGTGACCCTACTACCATCCAGAGACTTTGAGACTTGTTGACCTCAGCCCCAGTAGGTGAAGAGGTGCCCACCTCCCAGAACATGCGCGCCCTCTTTCCAAGTGCGGGGTCAGGCAAGTGAGGGGCAAATGTCTCAGTCCTGCTCCGAGCCCTCCAAGCAGCAGGCCCAGGAGGATCCTGACTCTAAGCGGGGTCTGTTCTGACAAGACGCTGGGCTCTCCCCAGCCAGACCCGGGGTTCTGGAGCAAGGTTCTGGGGCCCGCCACGCCCAGAGGCTCTGCGACAGGTGACCCTCTATGGAGCAGGGTCCTTCACTCACGATGGCCCGCGGAGGTCAGCCGGCCCAGGCCTGAGAGGATCAGCAGGAGAGACAGCATCGCGGGGCCTGCTGGCCTTGCCAAGGTGATGTCTGTTGGCTGCGGAACGGCGGCCGCCCGCGCGGGACCTGCGTTCTGGGCGGGTGGGGCTGGGGTCTGGGCCAGAGGCGGGGAGGTGGGGGAGGGGGGCGCGGCTGCTCCGCCCACCCCGCCCCCTCTGCGGACCCGCAGGAGCAGTCGCGGTCGCGGTCGCAGTCGCAGTCACAGTCCCGGGCGCCCACCCACCGCCCGCTGCGCGCAGGAGGCACACGCCAACCTGTCCTGCTGCCCACGTGGGCTTGGGCTTTATATTCCAAAATGCGGACATTGGAAACGCATTCAGGGATGACGTGAGGGTCATAAAGTGCATTTTCTCCTCTGGAAATGGGCCATCTGCTGGTGAAGTGCTTGGCAATGTTAATAGTCCTCGTCATAGTTTTTTGGCACAATGGCTGAACTACAGTAGTGAAGGAAAACAGAAAATGGAAACCATATCTACCGCTGGATTTCTAATTTAAGTCTCAGGTCAAAACAAATACACATACGTGCATAGAGATAAAGAGTGTAAAAAAAAAAAAATGGTACTAAACCAATTCCGTGGTAGATAACTTTGTTTCTTAGAAAATACTTTGGTTGGGTGCCTGGGTGGTTCAGATGGTTAAGCATCTGCCTTTGGCTCAGGTCATGATCCCAGAGTCCTGGAATCGAGTCCCGCATCGGGCTCCTTGCTTAGCGGGGAGCCTGCCTCTCCCTCTGCCTCTCTCTGTCTCTCTGTCTCTTACAAATAAATAAATAAAATCTTAAAAAAAAAAAAACAAAAACACTTTGGTTAAGGAAATTAAATAAAAAGCTAAATATGAAATGGATGTATGTATGTATTTTAATCCCTCAGTATGGAATCGTAATTTAAATATCAGGCCAAAAAAAAAAAAAAATCCAAAAAACAAATCACAACTATGAAATGATCCTGTAAGAACAACTTTATTTTCCCATTATTTATTTATTCCATTGTGTATAACTCGGCTTCTTAGGAAAATCTGTGGCTAGTAAAAGGTTAAATGTAAACTTTTTTCCCCCATCAGTATGACATTCACACACACAAAGGGAATAACTTGGAAAGAAATTTCATTTTTTGGCTTATTATGCAAGTTGATGACTTGCATAATTTCCATTTTGCAAAGACTTTTTTGCCAGACAATTCTTTTCTTTTCTTTAAAGATTTTATTTCTTTATTTCACACAGAGAGAGAGAAAGCCTAGGGAAGAGCATTGGGGGAGGGAGAGGGAAAGAAGACTCCAGGTTGAGTGTGGAGCCTAAGCAGGGCTCCCTCCCAGGAACCTGAGATCAGGACCTGAATGGAATCCAAGAGTCTGATGTTCAACTGACTGAGCCACCCAGGAGTCCCTGCCAGACAATTCTTGAGTTGTCCTTCCATGGAATACTTTTGCTTGCATTCCTTACATATAATATTTATCCACAAAACCAAATGATTGTTTTTTTCTGTCTGTAAAAGAAAAAAAATTAAATGGAGAAAGCTAGCCTTTTAAAATATATATATTCTTGGGGTGCTTGGATGGCTCAGTCGGTTAAGCATCTGCCTTTGGCTCAGGTCATGATCCCAGGGTCCTCGGACTGAGTCCTACATCAGGGTCCCTGCTCAGCAGGGAGTCTGCTTCTCCCTCTCCCTCTGCTGCTCCCCCAGCTTGTGCTCTCTCTCTCTCTATCTCTGGCTCTCTCAAATAAATAAATAAAATCTTTAAAAAAATTAAAATATATATTCTTTTTTCATGCTTTTCCAAAATCTAACTTTAGTGTCTATCAAGAAAATATTCTTACAGGTGACAAATGATAACAGAAGAAACTTAACTTCAAAATAGCAATTTTGCCTATTTCACTAAAGTGTTTATAACCTAATCATTTATTCTTGTTGGGAAGCACATTGTATATCATATTCATTTATTTGATTATTTCTATCTACCTTAAAATTAGTATTTTTATCTTTTTGTCAAATTATATGAAACTTGATGGAATTAACATATCAGGATTATGTTGTTCTTAAAGTAAAATTTCTTCCTGATTGTCTATAACCTGACCAAATTTTTGAAGTCTAATATATATGTCACTTAAGGCATGATAAGTATTAAAAGGTTGTCCATGGTTCTACTAAAAATCATTGTTGTTCAGTCAAGAAACCAAAAGGAGAAACATACATTTATTATTTAAATTCATTACTGTATTTCCATTGTTGGTATTGACTGCTCAGTTTTAATGAGTATAATTTACAGACATTCAAATCATTTTAATTTAATACAAATTTTTTTTACATGCTTACTACATGCCTGGAACTAGACAGATACCAAAATATATGTGACAATATCCATGTCTCCAAGTACCTCAGAAACTAACAGAAAACTGAACATACAAACGATGCCACAGCTAGAAAGAAAAATTTTTGTGACAGGGATATTCAAAATTCTCTCAGAATATAACTAAGATAATTTTGTTACCTCTACAGTTATCAAGTGAGCTTAGAGGTAGCTGTGACATTTGAGATGTGAGTTATATTCAGATGAGTGAATGTTTCATATGGACATTGGTGCATTTTAGTACTTTAATCTTAAGTAATTAAATAATTTAAAATCATCCAAGAATTTTAGGGCAAATAAATGTGGATTTTTGTGTTAGAATAACTTGTAGTAGTTTGGGTGTGGTGGGCTTGAAATGATGAGGACTAGAAGCAACAGGCTCACGAAAGGGTATTTTCAGTAGTTTAAGCCAAAAATGTCTACGTCCTCAGGATTAGAGTGGGAAGAAAAATAAAAGTAGTAGAAAGATCAGAGAGATATTCTGGAAGGAAAGTCAGTTTGCTGAATATTTTATTATGGAGGTTGATGAAATTGTTAAGATGACTAAGCCACTGGACGAGAGGGGCACCAATTTTGAAAGCAGCATATTTGAACAGGGAGATAACACGTTCAGCTAAAGATGTTGACTTGGAGATACTTGTGAAATAGCAGGTATAGACATTGGATGACCGTTGAAAATTGGTGTCTGATGCCCCAGAGCTTGAATTGAAATATATCACCTTATAAACCCATAAAAAGAACTTGAAGGAAAAAGAGTGACTAAGATCATCTAAGAGAAATGAGTGGAAAGAAAGAGGAGGTCCAAAATAGACTTGTGAGCAACACAGAGGATTTGGGGATTAGAAGAAAAGAATCCAGATTTGAAGTGACACTAACAAAGATTAAGGTGAGTAAGAACTGGAAGATATTAGGGTGACTACAAATAAAATAAAATAGAATTTCAAAGTGGAATATTAGAAACTTCAAATGTTACTCAGAGACCAAGCAGAATGAGAAATGAGAAGGTGATTATTGTTTTGGTGGTAATGAGTCAGTAATGAACATCCCCATTTGTGTTCTCCAAGAAGCAGATGCTGAGGAAGAGTTACAGAGCAAAAGGTTTTTCAGGGGGTAACAGCTGTGAAAGAGGAAACAGAATTGGGAAAGGGAGCCTAGGACCATAATAAAGACCTGACAGAGTTTCTGCCAATCCAGAAGGGTTGCTCCAGAGCCAGGAATCTCCAGAGCAGAGATTACTCATTAAAGGAGATGAAGTTTAGGCCTTCATTACAGGTGGCTTGCTCAGTAATTGAACTGATGCACTACTAAAATGTCATGTAGTTGGCTCAAAAGCTGATACTGACCTTAAAGCAACTAAGAGTTTGAGGCTGTTGGCTAGTCACACTCCTCCCTTGGGTAGCAAATCCTTTCTTCAAGGGGGATCTGAGTGGTGCATTTTTCTGTTAGCCAAAAAGACCTTGTGAGAAGCTGGCAGAACAGCAGGGACAGAAGCCATCAGGCAGAAAGAAAAGGAGATGAAATGCTGCAGATATTAGAAGGGGTAGTTTATACTTTTAGCAGGGCCAGAAAGGTCTGGTTAAGAAGGAAGAAACATAGCAAGGGTGAAGGTGGATAAGAAGGAGTGATTAGAAAATAAAATATGAAAGTAAAAAGAAAATGAAATCACACTTTCAAAGAGACGTGATTAAAACATTAAGTTAATAACCTATACTATTTTCTGAAAAATAAAGAAGGGAAAAACATTATGCAAAAGGTGTTAAGAGGGTCGTAAAAGTATCAGTTCAAATGTTAAGAGGCATTGTCCACTGTGGGACACTAGAATATAGTAACGATAGTAATACTTTCCTAATTAGAATATAAGCTGCATAGGGCAAGAATTTATTTATTTATTTATTTATTTATTTTTTAAAGATTTTATTTATTCATTCGACAGAGAGACACAGAGAGAGAGGGAACACAAGCAGGGATGCGGGAGAGGGAGAAGCAGGCTTCCCGCCGAGCAGGGAGCCCGATGCGGGGCTCGATCCCAGGACCCTGGGATCATGACCTGAGCCGAGGGCAGACGTTTAACCGACTGAGCCACCCAGGCGCCCCAAGAATTTATTTTTTTAATTCTATTTTTCTCACTGTGCCTAGAACAATGTCTAGCATATAGTAAGTAGTCCATAACCACATGCTGAATAAATATTTGTTGAATTACCTAATGAATCAACTATACAGTTTATTAAACTGTGTTACATGTAAGGAGGAAAAACAAAGGTTGATATACATAGTAAGAGAGTGGAGTGTGGAATACTGCCATGACATATGCTGTAGCAATTTACCAATGACTTTCTTTTTATTTTATTTTATTTTATATTTTTTTAAATTACGTTATGTTAATCACCATACATTACATCATTCGTTTTTGATGTAGTGTTCCATGATTCATTGTTTGCATATAACACCCAGTGCTCCATTCAATACATGCCCTCTTTAATACCCATCACCAGGCCAACCCATCCCCCCACCCCCTCCCCTCTAGAACCCTCAGTTTGTTTCTCAGAGTCCATAGTCTCTCATGGTTCGTCTCCCCCTCCGATTCCCCCCTTCATTTTTCCCTTCCTACTATCTTCCTTTTTTTTTTTTTTTTAAACAGGTAATGTATTATTTGTTTCAGAGGTAGAGGTCTGTGATTCAAGAGTCTTACACAATTCATAGAGCTCACCATAGCCCACACTCTCCCCAATGTCCATCACCCATCCCTCCCATCCCTCCCACCCCCCACCACTCCAACAACCCTCAGTTTGTTTCCTGAGATTAAGAATTCCTCCTATCAGTGAGATCATATGATACATGTCCTTCCCTGATTGACTTATTTCACTTAGCATAATACCCTCTAGTACCAATGACTTTCAATGGATGATAAATGAAAGCATTGTTAAAGACACAAAGGTATTTAAATATTTTAGGCAAGGAGAAAAAAGATGCCAATATGAAGGCAGTTTGAGATTTATATGTATTTTCTTCCTTGTTTTCAGGGAGAATATATTTAATTATATAATATATGGATATATAAAATATTAAAT